AATCATGTATTTATATATTAAAATTATTTCCGGAAATTACGGGGAAGTAATCGGCATTTGTGTGTTGGTGAGAAGTGATCAGTTATGCTGTTAGTGTATTGGTCTTGTGGTCTTTGCTGTACAGTATAATTAATAATGATTAGAAACTAGCTTTGAGCAGTAAGGACTCAGCGTTTTAAATTAAATTACTTTACCAATTAACTTTGACATTTTATTTGTATTTTTACTATTTTACCTCTGGCGTCAAGTAACTAGAGATGCTTTTTTTTCTAATTATTTTAGGAGCAACTTTTCATGATTGAATAGGTTCGGCGATTTTTCCTATCCAGCAAAAACGAAAAAATTCAAGATGGCTGCCAATGTTAACAAAACGTCTGTGGCTGGCGGTACTAGCCTATATAATTTCAATCTTTACGCTGCTATTTCAGTTTTGTCTGTGTTGGGTTATACCAGACCAGCTGAACCTAAATTCTCGTCACTCACGAAAATTGCATAAATGTTGTGTACTTTCAGTAGTTCCCTTATTATAATAATAATGGTTGTCCCTCGTGTAACGAGGATGGCCGGCCCAAGGGCCACCTAGGCGTGAATTTGTTTCAGGTGTAGAAGCTGTCGCCAACACAACAACCACACCCTGAGTTAACGAGCTGCATGACCCAGTGTCAAGGAATAGTCCGAGAAGACCGGACAACTCGCCAACTGCACTGGCTAACCATTACCCCGGAACACGATCCGCAAATCGATTAACATGCAGGTTCCCAATTACTGCTGGGTAGGCAGGCAAATGGCCCGGGGATCGAACCCGGGTCTACTCGCTTGCGAGGCGAGCATGCTGACCATTACACCAACAGTTTCATGTAAACCCCGAGAAATTTTTCAATAAATCGTAAATAAAAATTAAAGCATTTAATTGTTTTGTATTTCTCAACAATTTTATATACGGCAATTCACAGGTTTCATATGTATCCCGATAATTTAGTTTAAATCACATCAGTTTTACAAAAATCGCAAATGCTCAAATATGACGTGTTACTAGGGAGAGTGATTTTGCAAGACGTAATGATGTTTGCAGCTGTCAGTGGTGCTTTTCACTGTGTAGTTCGCCTGATAAACTTAATTGACGACATTTGAGTGGAGTCTGGCAAGGAGGCCACTTTCTCCTCTTACGAAGACAGTTATGTGTTGCGATGTATTTTATCTTGTGCACAATTCGTAAATTGAAGAAATATGATTATGTAGCAAGTTAGCTACGCATATACTGTATACTCATGCACACATGTACATACAAAGATGCACAACAATAATACAAACGCTGGCTTTACTGTGATACAGAAAACACAGTTATGGGTTAAGCTGGTCAAGTTAGTTAATAGAGAGAACTTACAGAGGACAGCGAGACATAACGTAGTCGCAGCGCAACTGAGCCAGCTGGAGCCTACATCATGTTTACCAGCGATACAACGATACAGGTTCTGGTGTATATTTGGTTTCAGGTACACACAAATACACTGAAAATTTTACGATAACCAGATGTTGGTGTTGTAATGTATATAGCGGTTCAACAACGAAATTAATATCTTGACTGACTAGTGTACAGTACATGACATGTGGTGAGAGACATCTATAGGTTTATTCCACGAAATATACATTAGTTCAGGTGATAGTAATCAGTGAGCAAGAGACAGTAGCTCGGCACATTTCTAGGGCCCATTGTGGAATGTTTTTGTCACTTAATTTGATTTGTGGTCGCCCAGGTGTTAGCGTGAGGTGTTGGTTGTATACCTAGTAGGAGATAGATGGTGGCAAACCGTCACCTTGAGGGTGTAACGGGGAGGGTGTACACGAGGCCGGTGTATGGGAGCGTGTCACACCTGAGGTATTGACTGTGTTATTTTGGCTCAAGTGGAGCGTGGGTGAGCAACTCATGCCCTCCATTAATACTACTACTACTGTAACCACCACCACCAGCTGTCTTAATTGGCTTTGTTCTACAGTACTAACACTTGCGTTAAAGCGTTACCTTAGCAGTAACAATTTATTCCATCAGCGTTTAACAATTGAAATTTGCAAATTTAGCTTCCATAGCGTATTGTACTACCAGCATGTAACAGTTTACTATTTTAGCTTTTATAACATTGTTTCTTTAGCGTGTAACAAGAGTAGATGCACTAGTTTGTGAGGACACCTTCTCTTTGGTTCGGTCGTAACCAACGCACCCAATTCCCGCGCCACACTCCCTCACTTCTCACCCCTCAACTAGTGGGAGAATACGTTCTAAAGCTGTGTGTTTGACGCAGGCCTTGACGTACACCACACCTGTGAGATATAATAATGACTGATGCCGCGGTATTCATATACGTTGGAGGTTTTGCTTTCTCTTTTGTACTGTCGATGTGTGTGTGTGTGTGTGATAGGTGTATGCAGTTGTAGTAACCAGGTGGTCTATAAAGTTACCTAAGGTCATGTGACCTGTATGGTAAGAGAACACTGGTGGATCTGGTGCTGCTGGTAGACAGGAGATTGACGTAAGTGGATTACTATCCATCTTCTGAGGCCGTATACCAGTAGGGCTCATGTAACGCGTCTTATCTAAGCTCCACTGGCGGCTTCTCATTCTTGTATTTTGTTGCTTATATCTGATTGGGGTCGCAGTCACGTGTAGACTGCAGAAGGTCGTGGTATTTGTCCAAACGCTGATCACTGTTATCCAGAGAGATCATTTTCCCCAATTTGGAAAATAATTAGTGCTCAAGTGACTGGTTATAATAAGTGCCTCACTCCTAGTTGAGCACAATATTAACGGTCTGGTTCGGCTGGGGGCTTTCACGGCTCTAGCTTATTTAACTCCCAATCCAAATTATCGGTGATTCGTACGCCAATTTTTTTTCCTTCTGTGTAATTTCGAGACCATTTTGGTTGGCATCATTGTGTAGCAGCATAAGTGAGCCCATTAAGGTGCTTTCTCGTGTTACCAGTAATGGGGAAATCGAACGTCCCATTCTCTCAGACTGAGGCTCGGCTTGAGAACTACTGTAGATGCTGTGGGACATATTGCTTGTTTGTGAACCGGTCACTGAGTAAGTATTTGGAGATTTTAACATGGATATTAGCAGTGGCATTTAGTTGTATTGTACTGTTAGTACATATATTATTAGTATTGGGTGTTTACTGAGTTGCTTGATGAAATAAATGACAGTTCTATGAGGAAGTTATACATTTTACACACAGGTACTACAGTATATATATATATATATATATATATATATATATATATATATATATATATATATATATATATATATATATATATATATATATATATATATGCACTCCACCATTTTGTGCACCTAACTGTATTCTTCACACGTCCATGTGTGACTTAAACTTGGAGATGGAGTTGTAAAGAAAGCATCTCGGACGATCGTGAGGTGTGTGGAGTAACAAGACACTGTATGTAGCGCAGCCACTGTAGCGAAGTTGGTGCACTAAGATGGGTAATGGGAAGAAGTGTAGGAAGACAGGAGAGAAAGGGAGAATGATAATAATTGTTAAAGAGGGAAAACTCGTTATACCAGGAGAATGATCAGTGAGACATTGTAAAAAAAAATCGTAGTAGTTGTGTCTTACTAGAAGATATTCTTCATCTATTTTCCAAGGCTTGATAGAGTGCTGGTGAACTCAGAGATAGGTTCTGCCTCTAACCTACTTTATTGAAATCGATGTATAAATGACAGTTATACAAAGGTATAAAACCTATCCAGCTAGGGACATGCACCTCGCAGTTTCACTTGAACAAGAGATTAACTTGCGTTGCACGCACCACGCCTGAATAACGTCCGACACTCACTTTCCACCGCAAGACTCTTCCCTGTTGATGAATGATGATGATGATGTTATAATGCATTGTTGCGCATTAACAACGAACATCTTTAAGTGTGTATTCTAAACCAGAGAATACACGAGACATCACCAATTAAAGATAGTTAATCCTCTGTGAGCAGTTAGTTATACAGTACTATAGTGCAGTATTGCCTCTACTACTTTACTGTCACTCGGAATCGAGTATGACGCACATAAACACACAATAAAATGAAGTTACAGATGGCCGTAAAAGTTAACCCAACGTTTTCCTTTACTTAGACCTTTTAGTAATTCCTACTTACTCATGCTCACTTGGTTGGACATCACTTGCACTATACTGTATACTCTACCATTCTCATCCTTCAAT